TGAGTATGCCACTGACCTGAAGCCCTCTCGTGGCCAGCAAGACCTCGACATTGACATTTGGCTCGTGAACGTGGTACCGCCGCTGTCGTCACGTGCAAGGCTGGGGAAGCTGTTACTAACGAGACATCCGTTCGAAGATATTGACCGTCGAGGTTCAATATTTGGGGATGTGTGAATTATGAAGCGTTTGCCACTCGCCATCGTCCTCAACAGTTGACAAGAGAGGCAATCGCAACCCCCGCAGCCCAGACCTCGTGGTAGACTGCCGGCGCTCTCCGTCAGACCTCGATACGACGCCAGCACCACGGCCAACACCACGTGGGAGGGTTAGAGACATTAAACTCTTTGGCGATACAATTTCCAGACTAACAAGCACACTCGCGCGCGTGTCTATGGTGTTATCAACCTAGCTCAAGCTGCAGTCTAATTAGAATTGTTTTTTTTCTTCTTGGTTCTTTCGGTAAAGTCACGTAGAAGGGAAGTAATAAAATAATTAAAATAAAACATAATAAAACTATTCTCACGACGTTTCGGCCACAACGCAAGCAGCCGTCCTTAGATGAAAACCAGGTCTGTCGAGGCGACAGCGCTGTCGCCTCGACAGACCTGGTTTTCACCTGAGGACGGCTTTAAATCGAAATATAATTGTTTTCTAATTGGTGAATTCTTGACGAGCACCCTGGTTTGTGCTGCCGGGGTGTTTCGCCTGAATGTTGAATGTTCTCTTGAAGGGACTGCAGAAAGCGCCGCATTTATACAGATTCGTTAATTTCTTTATACAACTACTAAAATCTTGCATGTTTGCCCGTTCAATGACGGGTGTATATTGCAATAAATATGAAATACAGTGTGTGTAAAAAAGATGGACCCGATTTGAAATCGCTATATCTCTGCAACCACGAACCGCCCATGAATGAAACTCTTACCACTTGAGAGGGCGGAGCATAGAGAGGGCGGGGCATAGAGAGGGCGGGGCATAGCGTTTCTAATGATGACCGCTCGATGCCTCTCCCAGCGCACAAACAGCCCCTAGCCTCAGTCATTCGCAAGACGGCGACCCCGCAACACACAAGGGGCGTTTTGCGTTCTGTAGTTCAGAAAAACTAAATCCGTAATTGCGGTGCGGCGTGCGTTTCAACGGCGTTTTGGCGTTGATCCGCCAATGTCAAAGAGCATTCGTCGTTGGTACAGACAATTCGAGGAAACCGGCTGTTGATGTGCGGGGAAGAGCACAGGGCGACCACGCAGCTCAGAGGAAAACGTGAGAAGAGAGGCGTTTGGGACGAATTCAACTATCGTCTCGATATTGTCCGTACAGCAGGTGGAGGCCACATAGAGCATTTATAAAATGGTTAGTAAAACTTGATAACTCATGAAACCGTTTGTAACTTTTTGTGTAATTGTAACATGTTGCCATCGTGAAATATACTGCTTTGAAATTGGGTCCATCTTTTCAAACACCCTGTATTCAATAGAAACATTGTTCAGCTCATGATTGTTATATTAATATTTTTGGTTCTTTCGGTAAAGTCACGTTGATAGAAAATAAAAATAAAATTTTTTGATGAGGGAGGGGTTGCCCCATGTGGAGTGACGTCACCCGTTAATGGTTATTGGGGAGGGGTGTGGCATGTGGAGTGACGTCACCCCTCATTGTTATTGTGGAGGGGTGCGGCATGTGGAGTGACGTCACCCGCTCATAATTATTAATGAGGGGAGGAGTGTGGCATGTGGAGTGCGCGACCTTCTTGTGCGTTAGTGTAATGAAGGGGGGGGGGGCTCTTTTCAGTGACGTCACGCACGGATGTAGCACTGTGCTGCGTAATTTATTTTATTATATTCAGCTCGACCTTCCTCTGCGTTAGTGTAAAAATCCACCCACTCATGAATATTAATGAGGGGGGTGGGCCTCATGTGGAGTGACGTCACGCACGTGACGGACAGACATTTCTGGGTGATTATAGTAGGTAATAATAATAATAATTGTCACGCTGCACCGCCGTAACAGTGTCCGCTCGCCACTCTCAGAGAGAGAGAGATGACGACTCTTAGAGGCGCCAGGAGGAGCACCCACAGACACGTGCGGGAAGGCGGCAGCAGCAGCAGTGGCAACGCAGTGAACCGGCACCAAATCCCCCCCCCTCCCAAGCTCTGCGGTCCTCTATATATGAAGATGTTTTCGGCCAAGTAATGGGCGTTGACGTGTAGGGCGAAAACGAGAACACCTGAAGAAAACCCATACAAGCGAGGGGGCAACACTCGATGCCTTAACAGATGGAAAAGGTGGCGTCCACACTCTGCCGTGCCGCCTGGCAAGCCAGGGGGTGGCAACCTCCTTGACACCCACAGGACGGGTGTCACAACATCCGTGCGTGATCCACCAACCCTCGCTGCTGCCTCTGTCGTCCCTGTGACTCGCCCAGCAAAGTCGAGTCCATGCAGTCTCCCCGTGTTCAAGCGTGGCGCTGAGTGGCGTCTGTTCCCGTCTGGAGGCTCAATAATTGATCAGTGGACTGCACATTCACTTTTAAAGTTGTTACAGATGCAGACAATTTATTTTGGGAGCATCTTATTAAACCTATTATTATTGCAGGCTCACATGAATAAATAAATTGTTTAAACAGTTGTGCAACACAAAAAGGCAATATCGTAGCCATGCAATATTGTTTTCTAAATTAATAACTAGCCGTGTGTATGTGTGTGTGGAGAGTGGTAGCGTCGTGTTGAGCGCACTGCGTCGTGAACCCGGCAACCCCCGAGCTCAATTGCTGTTCACGGTCAACACCGGTGACGTTTATCCGAACGAGCCCTGGGCGTCCCCTAGGTCGACTCAGCCTCAAATGAGTACCTGGTGCTATGTGTAAACATCGTCACTAGAGAGACAAAGGGCGTGATTCTGGCCACTCACCCCCTCGTGTGCCCTGCCAGTCTTACTAGGTGCTAGCTAACAACACTTTCCCCAACAGTCTCTGAAGGCTGCACGGGGGATCTTTGTGTGTGGCCCACCCACAATAACATCGCAGCCTTATCTGGACAAACCGGGACCATCTTCTTGTCTTGCCCTAAATTTCTGAGAAATTAGTGAATAGCAGGAGTCTGGTATAAACTAATTAATGCGTTGACTCATTAACATAATATCGGTCCTTCGGCTCCAGATACAGGCACGGAAACACGCATCGTGGTGAGCCATGATGAATCCACTGCTAGATGAAGGCCGCCCCGAGCTGCTCGCCCGCCCGCCAGCCACTTCTCGCGATCCGGCAGCTTCCTCCCACGTGTAGCGAGTCCAACTGAGTTGCAGACGTTGTCTTGGGAGCAACACTATTTATTACACCAACTCAACATAACATAAAAAAACTTACACTTGGGTGTTGAATGCCCATCTAGCCACGCTACGGCAGAACTAGACACGGTTCACTATCCCGGCCCGGACCAGGGTCCCGGACCGCGTGGCTAGAGACTTGTTTAACCCGACGTGGATCTTCATCACCAGCAACAGGAAGAACCCCGAACGCCTCATGGGGCCCCGTTATATCGGCCTGGGCTGGGGCTGGCTCCACCCCTCGCCCCGCCCACCTTCTAGATCTCTCGAGCTCTTTCCCGAAGGCTCCCGAGAGCTCTTTTATACCACGTGACCGCCCAGCGGCCCCCGTCCACCGGTGGCCCCCCTCCAATATCATCCGGTCACGTGTCGGCAGGTCAACCAGCGTATCATGCCCCAATGTAACCCTGGCTGGCTGACACTCCCTCTCGCTCCCTCACCGGGAGCCCGCACCGCACACTGCACGCGATGCCTCCACGCTGACCAGCGCTCACCCAAGCCCCGCTAGGGCTGGTGGTACTACGTCCAGCACGCGGGCCTCACATAATGCCAACACATTATCCGCCGTGGCTTTGTAAGCCCGGCACCACACAGTGACAATCACAGTCACTACAAATGTAAACGCTCGGTCAATCCGGCCCGTCTGACGTTGGCCCTCCTGGCCCCTGCGAGGCGCCTCTCGCTCCCCGAGAGCGGCGAGCGCGGACCGTGCGGCAGCAGCGGCGGTGGTGAGTCACAAGTCGGCGTCTTCATGATTCTCAGTCTTTTCTAGCTCCCCTCCCCTCCCCAGACAGCTCCGGCAATGATACCTCGCTCTGTAACAAAATAAATAGGCAGACCATACGCCTCTCCGCATTAATAACCAAAGTTTCCATTTTACACAGCCCATCAGCCGCACGGCCTTCTGGGAGTACGTGATGTTAGCAGCGTTGGGTCAACGCAAGCAAAACTCGGGACCGGTTGTGACATTCGGTGTCTCGTCAGTCGAGGCAGGCTCGCTTCAACTAATGCTGGTGAACTGCCCGATGCTAATATGCCCTTTCCACCAGATGTGGGCCCAAAATAAGTATAGATACTTTATAGAACTTATAAAATACTGAACTAATGTGTATTGTACGAAATAATAACGCGAGTTAGTTACAGGTGACGTTTGCGTCGAGTGTCAAGCGATCGTGAGCTGGTGGTGCAATGTTTTGATAATGAGCGCTGGTGAAAGTGAAATTAGCATTTACAGCTATTTGGCTGAAATGAAAGTCCATCGTTAATAATACAGAAGTAAGTGTGTGTGTGTGTCAGTATTAAGCATATACTATATGTTGAAAAAATAATTAGCAGGAGCCTGAGCATACTTCTTAACATTCCTCCGTGAAAGCCGTCTGACCTCCTCTTGTACCGTGAATGTCTAAGTGTGCTCCGGCAATTACGCGCCGTGCGCTGCTCGAAATGTCGCTCCCCTCCACTACGGCGCAGGCTCATTTCATCCGCTCTTCCGCCTCGGCCCACCCAGCCGCGTGAACCGTTCACGCGGTCGATCGGCAAAGCTGCGTGTGGGTGGTGGGGTAAAACCGTGGGTACTCCCAGCTCTTCCAAAGCTGTCTGCCCTGCGCGGAAGAGTGGGCCCTCTGTGCAGGGGGGTGATCCTTGGGCTCTCCATGCCCCCGCCTCTCGCCCTCCACAGATGCACTCGCTGAGGCTCCTGAGCCAGAGTCAGCCGTCGCAGATTTTCCACAGCATGTCGGACAACGTGCGCCCGACGCAGGGCCTCAACAACCGATGCATCCGCACCAACATCAACTTCAGCCAGCCCGGGAAGGACTGCCCCAACAAGAAGCCGCAGAAGCTGCAGTACAGAGGTGCGCGCCACGGGGGCCACCGCCAAACGCCGCGACGTTGGTGGTGACCGGCACCGCGAGGCCGCGGCGGCGCGCGACCGGTCGAGCGGGTTGGAACGGCCGTGGCCGCCGTCCCTCGGGGCGGCGGTCTCCCTCTCTCTCGCCAGCGTTGCCCACCGCCGCTCTGGGGTTTGATCCGCAGCAAGGCAGCTTCCGCGGAGCGCGGCTTTCTCTCTCTCTCGCGCGCGCGCGCGTGGGGCACCTCTGGCCCGCCTCAACTGAAGCCGGTTGACCTCTCCAAGACGTGCGCCCGTAGAGCCTTGAAAGGTTGAGCCGAGCTCAGGCGCCACCTCTCCTCGTGCTGCGAATTAAAATGTTGCGCGCTTCAAACCGAAGCGGTGTAGTTTGGGTAGCGCACGCGCAACCTTTCTCCTCGAGTGAACAACGGCACGGGGCGTGGGGTGAACGTGAGTGTGGCGGGGGCCGCGCTGGCCGCCCATGGTGCTGGCCCCACCACCACCCCCCGGTGCGTGGCAATGCCGGAATAATTAGTAGACCTTCGCCCAAGAGCGAATTAAGTCGAAATGTAGGTTCATTGTCCGTGTGTTTGCGTGTGTGTGTGTGTTTGCGTGTGTGTGTGTGTTTGCGTGTGTGTGTGTGTGTTTGCGTGTGTGTGTGTGTGTTTGCGTGTGTGTGTGTGTGTTTGCGTGTGTGTGTGTGTGTTTGCGTGTGTGTGTGTGTGTTTGCGTGTGTGTGCACGCACAGGCGATCTGTCACGTTGTTGTCAAGCTGTTGATCTGAGTGGACTTAATTCCTATCTACTTTTAATCCTGGATTTGCCACCAGCGAGATCAGACTTTAATTAATCACGGGTTAAGATGTGAGAGAATTATCCTGTCATCGCTGGAGGTGAGCGCACGCTTTAATGAAGGCAGCTGTGGTGTGTCTTTACCCAAATCCAGGACATTGCTTGCAATAAAAGTTAAGGTAGAAAATAGAAAATGAAATGTATTGAGAATTGTGCTGATTGCCATGAATAATTGGCTACATGATTTAATTGGATACTGTTAGGGTAGTAAGGTGTCAATTATTGAACCATTAAACATCGTGAGCTTTGAAGCTCTAAAACATAATTAAAACTTTGCATCTATACTGCATGTCAAATTATTCAATTACTGAATTTAAGCTAAATTAAACACATCCGATGTTTCATAGAAAGTTAATTTAAAAAAGAGTGAAAATGCACTAATTGTCAATTTTCTCTTGCAGTTAATGAATTGATTCTGAAATAATGAAGATGTGAGCAACGGCCTTGACTGCAGCACTTTGAATGTTGTTGAGGCAGAACACCAATTTACAAATACTGGACAAAAAAGATTTTACAGAGCTAAAAGATAAAATATATACGACAGCTAATCCCGGCTGTAATTGTGTACATTTCGTAAACAATAAGAAAACTCGGTGCCAGGGCACTGTCCCTGACACTTGCTCGTAAAGCGACGCCACCGCGGCCGACGGGGACCCATCGCGCCCATGAAGACGCCACTCGAAGACACGGATCACCGGAGTCTCGTTGCGAGGAGGGGAGAGGAGGGGCGACGAGTCTCGTGACAGCTACGACGTCCACCACCACCACCGCCACCACGGCGCTGAAATACCCGGTGCCATTCCACGATGCCAGGAACGATTCACAAAACCCGGCGGTAATGAAGGCAGAAAGTTCCCGACTTCGAATACAAATGCTGCTTGACAAAAGGCGCATCAAAGGGGCGTTTTGAAGCAGACAATCCGAGGGAGGAGGAAGTGCGCTCTCCACTTCAAAGGACCTTTACCGGACTAATGACTGCATTCTGCCGTTGGGTACGGTGCGAGAGCCGGCACGATGCGTGCACTTGCAGCGCGGACAGACGCGGGGTTGCTGGGGGCCCACGGTCATCGCATGCACACGGACACGCACGCACGCGCACACACTCACTCACACACGCACACGCACGCACACTCACGCACGCACACTCACGCACACGCACACACACACGAACACACGTGCACGCACTCACACACACACTCGAGCTGATTCAGTCAAAGAGTTCTGTCACAGCCTTTGCTGCCTGGGGGGACTGGGCCTGCGTAAAGCACATCCCGTCACACACACTCTCGCCAGGGCCTCCACTCACACGTGTGGTGTGTAGATGTACACTTAGACCACAGTGCATATGCGACCAACTTCGGGAATGCAACGTTATATGTACGGTGGGGGACAGGGGTATGGGGTAGGGGTGCACAGGGGCATTGTTATTTTATTCCCAGCTGGCGAGCGGAGGGAGGAAGCGTCGCGACGGGGCCGCGCTGCGCTCCCACGCGCTCATGGTCCGCTCCCACGTGCTCATGGTCCGCTCCCACGTGCTCATGGTCCGCTCCCCGGCGGGCGGCGTGCGAGCCACCCGGGGGGGGGGGGTCTCCCGAGACGGCTCGGCTGCGCGCAAATTGTGAATGCCGCGGTTATTGTCGTGTGGATAATGACGGCGGTGGTAATTATTGATCAATATATTCTGGCAAACAAAAAATGTGCAGCTCAGCTTCTGTGGCCAGTGCATTCATTTTTGAGGCTGCGGTTCAGGCATAGGTAGCATTCGACACGCTCCGGTGGCTGCTTGAGGCCAACGGCTTCTGCCTTGTGTACAATCGCAGATGAGGTCGAGCGAAGAGGTTGTCGCGTTGGAACGGAGGTAACGGAAGTAAGTTACGGAGCTCGTCAAGTTCATCGCTTTTTGACAGTTGCCTAAAAGTGTGTTTGTTTTTTAGTCCACACTTGCCCATTCACTCAAACTCAACAGCCAAAGTAGAATCTTCTTCAAGAAAGGGCTCAGCCTACAAAGCAAAGCAATTTTCTTGACCAGATATGTTTGTGTGGTTTAAACTAAATAAAATAATTCTATTGCAATGGCTGACAAGCCTCTTGGACCTAATTTGAATTCATTCGGACCCTGTCAAGTACAAAGCAATGGGCAAAACTTTGTCATTTATAAATGTGTTTTTAAGTTGCACAAGTTGTTATTGTCGTCGTCGTCGTCGTCGTCTCTGTTGGCATGACATGAACAGTTTGCAGTTTGCAGCCTCATGGGGGTGTGCTCGGTGGCGCACATAAAGTGTCGGAACTAAAATAGTCTGGGCATGGGGGCGCACGGGCAGCGCAATGACTGGCCCAGCCAAGCGAGCTGGGGCCTTGGCAGAGACGCGTGGATCACCGCTCGTGCTGCTCCATTGCCTGCCAAGGAGATACACGTTTGGTCACTTGGCCCATTCTCCGCAAAGCCACTGACAATGAAAACAATCAGGCGGCACTTGTGTGTAAGGTTGTATCCGACCCCACGGACATCCATGGATTGGCTTTCATTTACTCCTGCAGAAAAATGTCGAAAGCAGGTGATTTTGCAGAATTCTATTACCATGCTCTGCACAATTTATTGGAAAGCAGCTTGTATGACTCGTCCTTGCTGTGTCCGCTTCTCAGCCCCAGCGATGATCTTGAAGATATTATTATCTGAATTGCTCGAGCGTTACTCCGTCGTCGTTTCATTGTTTTATTTTCGCCACGCGCGTCACCGGTGTGCGGCGATGCCGACGTCGGGGAGGTCGAGTGCCCGAGGGGAACAGGCGCGATGACGAGACGGTGGTCGTCGTGGCGTGCGGCATCGTTTAGCCCCAGCGCTGCCGCCTGCGCTCGTGAACGCTTGGAGGCTGCGTGAAGGCTTCGCGTGAGCCCAGCGAGCCCTTGAATAGGCAGGCCACCCGCAAGGATTGAAAGAGACAGGCAAATACTCTGTTATGTGTCGAAATGAATAAGCAGATATTGGGAACATTATTGCATGGACCAGTTTAATATATCAAAGTATTGCGTTGGGGTTTTTTTTTCCTTTCAATTGCAGCCTAGAAAAGCTTTCGGTCAGTTGGATAACTTTGATATGAAGTATATTTTGCGTTTGTTTATTTAGTTATGGTGGGCGTGGGCGGCGAGCGGTTGTTCCGTTAATTTTCAAAGTATGCCAATTGTTGACAGTTTCTTTGTTTTCCCGTCTAGTCCATTTAAGTATATTGACTTGAATTGCAGTGGTGTTCAGGACTATTAATCAGACATGAATTTATCTGGAAATAAAGTACATTTAATTTGATGTCTGTGCGTTTGCTGACATTTTGTGATTTAGATAGTTAATTTTCCGTCGCATTATTATTTTGCCGTAAAAGTCACCTCTTGATGTTGGTTATTTTAATCTATACATTGTATCAATTGCAGAGATGGGGGGGGGGGTGAAACATCTCAAAGCACGTTATCGCAACGATTGGGATTAAATGCAGAGTTACATAAGTGAAGGAACAATACAATAACACGTTGTTATGAGTGTTTCATTAAAAATGCTTTCCGAAAGATTCCATATGCACGGTCTATTAGAATTCAACATTGACGAACTGCACTGCTGCTTAGAACTCTGGTACAAAGCCAGCAGGCACACGGTCGAGAGGCGCGGTAGGCAGGGCACAATAACAGGCGAGCGCTTGGAAGCCACCCTGCTCAGGGTTCGGCAGCGTGCTGGAGGTTTCACATCTCTCACCGTAATCTCTCGTCCTGCAGATGAGCCAGTGCAGAGCGGCCCTGCGTGCTCTGTGGACATTAAAGGTCTCCGGGAGCATGTTTGGCAAAGGGCGGCAGCGTGAGCCCCACGTGACCTTGCTAGAGTTCCACGGCAACCCAATGAGGATGTCACACCCCCCCCCCCCTTTCAGCACCCCCCCCCCCCTCCCCGTTTGTTCACGCACAGCAGCACAAAACACAAATCTACGATTTCCCTCTTGTAGGTGGATATCATTAGAGACGAGACGTACGCATTCAGAAGCGTCGTCACATCTGAGTCAACGAAGCCCCCACCCGCCACTCCCAAGCGGCCTGTCGCTCAGCACGGCGGCAGTAGGTCGGCCACTGCTCTCGAAGACGTCGACCGTGATCGTTAACAGAATCGCCATATGTATCTAGACTGCAGGAGGAATCCGATGAGCTATGAAGCTCTTTGCCACAGATGTCCAGTAGAGGCACGGGGTCAGAAGGTTACAACATCAAACAATCCAAAAACACGATCGGAGTGCAAAGTATAAGAAAGGTAAACAAATCACATAAACAAATATAGAAACAAAATGTAGTTACCAGGTTACCAGGTAAGGCCAGCTGAGGAATTAACTTGTTTTTCGGAAGCGACCTGGCCACAAATGATACCGCGACAAAGTGGCTTATCGTGCGGAAATTCACAGCGGCCAAATTCTGTAAATAATCTAAATAAATAATCTATAAATAATCTAAATAAATAATCTATAAATAATCTAAATAAATAATCTAACGGCGCGGGACAAGAAGAGGACGAGGCCTCTCGTCGGCGTCGTCGCCCTACGGAGATTTTGCACCGACGGCACGCGCTCGAAACTCAAATCGAATCTCAAAATGCATCGTCACTTCGAGGCGAAATGTGATTTGTAACGAGGTGTTTGCTTATCTGGCCGGGAACGTGGCATGGGACGGCACACTCTTGGCATCCCTGATAATGCATCTCTTTTCATTTTCCCCATCTTAACGAATATCTGCGCGCGTTTACAGTTTGCATGAAATCAAACAACGAATACAGCGGCTTTAAGGGTCGAGGACTGAATTACCGTGGCCGTATACAAATTACCATGATAATTGCAGGAAAAAATTGGAATGGTTGCTTACATTAAAGTGCCTTTTTTACCTTTTTAACCATTTTTTAATTACCGATGGGTCAGATGTCTGCAGCAATGGCCTGTGAAGTTAAATTGCATTATATCATCACACCCTGGACACACACAAACCCACACACAGCATGTCCGCACTGTGGACCTATTAGTGTCGGGAAGCAGGTGGAGAAGACAATGTCACCTTAGGGTGAATAAAAAATTGGGGAGAATTTGTATTCTCTGTGAACCATTCTGATCCAGATTCCTGTTTAACTATTGAACTGAGAAACTGTCAGCTGCTCTTAGTCCACAGCTTACAGACCTTACGATATATTACCATTGACTGCCCTTGGTCAATCCACTGCTGGATGAAGGCTCTCCCCACTAGTGTGTGGGGGGGGGGGGGGGGGGTGACCATACTTCACTAGGCTGCAGTGACGGTTTCATGAAGAGAGAACCCGGGACCGGTTCAGAAGCCACTCGCCACCTTGTCAGCCGTGGCCCGGAATCAAAGTCAGGTGGTTGTTTACTCACACCCCGTATGTGAACATAATTAAATACAAATGTTTATACGGTAAAAAAGACACACTTGTCTGAATGCCAGCTATTGCATTGTGTGAATGAACAGCACTTCTACTTTAACGGGGTTTCTGTACCATGAGGTGAAGGGTCGATTCTGAACTCTCCGAGACCCCACGTTAGAGAACGGTCCATGGAAGGAAATGTCACAGAACTGCTTCTGAAAACCTCTCAAGTGACCTCTTCTCCACACCGGGGGGCAGCAATTTCCTCCCACTCGCTTTGCATGACAATACAACACCGAAATACTCAATTCTCACATCGCTCGAATGCAGCTAAATTTAACCAAAATCCGCATGTCATTTCGTCATCGGGTTGAGGTTCAATCGCAGACGGCTGCAGCCCCAATCTCCGCCCGGGATCTCAGCGGTGGCGCCAGCTCAGCGCTCTCCAAGCCTCATTGAGCCACAGAGCCACCTCGGCAGGCACGGAGTCTCTCGTCCACCCATCGTAAGTGATGCCGATCGGCTATCTAAGCCTCACTTCGCGGCACCATCAGTTGTTCTACAATAGAGCGGTTTAGGGCCGTCACTGCACTCTGACAATCGCAAGACGTATGCATAATGCCAATGATAGTCCATCCATGTGCATGTTTCTCGACTTATTGTGTCGCAAGAAACCTGTGGCCTTCGGCTCGTCGGTAGCTTCAGCTGGCCTGCACGGTTTATTGCGAAAGACGAAAAGTCCATCTGGAAATTGTAACGAGTCCGTGAGCTGCAGTGCCGTGCGACCATGGCACTCGGACTGAGTGGAGCAGTGAGCAGTGCGAAATGTCCCGCAGCCAATTTGCTGTTTCTCTATTATGCCGTCGCTTGCACAATCCTCGTTTTTTTACTGCCGCAATTAACACATTTCACATGAGAAGAAGTGGTGCATATTAGAAAGCTAGAATTATTTTCTTGAAGAAGTGTACTTTAAAAAAACTCACCAAAATTTCTGCCATATTCTCAGATATTGAGAGCAATTAAAATTAATTGTCCTCTGTACAGTGTCTGCTTGACGTCACATCCAGTCAACTCCCTGTCTCACACATTACTCATTTGCTCTTCTTGTGAATTTAATGCAAACCTGGGTCATTATTAAAACAAAATAATCACACCACAGTACTTGTTTTTTTTCCTTCTAAAGATCCCACGCCTCGAGTTTCCTGGGCCCCTCTTCACCCCGACAGTGGCCCCATCGTTCGTGGCTGCGCTGCGTTGCCACCGAAGAAGAAGACGACGACGTTCGGAAGACATTACAATTATAATAATGGCGACACCAAAGAGGTGGGAGTAACGAATACAGAAGACTAACCACGGGTGATTTACAATTCCTCAAACATTTCAATTTGTGCTCCTGTTGATGTCATTCTTTCGACCGAATATTATTTACATCCTAGAGAATGTGAAAAACCTCACAATAATATTCTTATTGCTGTTGTTGTTATTATTATTCTTTTTACGTAAAAGAGTAATTATTCCCAGTGCTCCGAGTACACGGGGTAGTGTGCATGGATTGAAAGTGTCACTCTGCATGTACACAGATTCATTTGTACAAAAACACTCCATCCAGCTCCCCCATTCCTTTTTTTCAATATTCTACCCCACTCCGTGTCCCTCCAACAGTTTGTTTTCCTTTCAGACAACATTTTGAATGGGATACATTTCCATCGATAGTACGTAATTTATATAGGATTTACGGTATATCAAATAAGGACCATGGTAGTGACCCCTAAACATCATTCGATTAGGCTAACATGTCACACGTACGCATAATTCAACAACAAGAAACAATCCCATTTATGAGATGCATTTTGAAGAGTAAGAACCACTCTAATTGTTACACGTTTATTAATCCACTGCTGGATGGAGGACTCCACCACACTGCGGGACCTGTTCAGCCGCCGTCCCCCACTATGACCAGCGCGGATTCACCAACGCAGATGTCCAGGACCAGTGGAGGCAAAACTCGCTCCTCTTATTCGTGACCGAAAATCAAACTCGATTCACCCAGTTCCCAGTGCCACTCACCCACAGTGCGTATGTGGCACGTGTGTGTGCCACATACGCACGTGTGTGGGTGGGTTCGTGAATTTAAACTCGCATTGCCGGCGAAGTCGTAGAAATGTGCGCCTTCAGGCAGGGCCAGAATAAAATAAACACATTGAATTTAAAATCGCATTGTATTCATGAACAGATTTTCCAGCTCTTGCCTCCAATACCGAATTCTTTGTGCGCACATCGGTCATCAGCGTGAAGCGTCAGGGTGATGTTCGTGCACAAGGCTTAGTTGTTGTTGTTATTGTTATCACCTCGCTCGTTTGCCTAAGAAATCTTCACGAATCAGGAGGCACCTGCCAAGTTTTCGAATTAGGAGTCCGATGTTGTTATTATTATGTCATATTTATATTGTTATTGTATGTCATTCCCATTAACATTGATATTGTTATTGTGTGTATCATTCACATTTATATTGTTATTGTGTCATGCACATTGATATTGTTATTGTGTCATGCACGTTGAGTAATTTGCAGGTACATTTTCATCATTTGGATGTTTGTAAAATACCAGTTACATTGTGTGGGCTTGTTTAATTTTTTTATCAGCGATGGAAGCAAACTGGAGAACCCAGAGAAAGCCCAAACAGAACGTCGAGACTCAAGACAGTGAGGAGGAGGAGGAACCCCGGCACCTCTCGCTGCGAGCCACGAATGTTACCACCGCGCCTACCACCACCACCACCACCACCGCCACCACTGCCACCACCGCCACTGCCACCACCACCACCGCCACCGCCACCACCGCCACCGCCACCACTGCCACCACTGCCACCACCACCGCCGCCGCCGCCGCCGCCGCCGCCGCCGCCGCCG